ATATAGAATCTTTATAAAAAATATTAATAACATTAAAATATGATTAACTTAAGGTACATTTATAATGAAACATTTTCTATATTAGCACAGGAAATTTATATTAGTACAATTACGTTTTTGTGGAAGTATTTAATTTAAAATTATAAAATTCCATGTATAAAAATATTAATCATACATTTTAAGTTATATTTTGAAATAAAAAAGTTACATATAATTCATAGCGTTTTTATACATTTCATTCATATAAAGTACACGGCCGAACACGCTCCCGAAAACATGTGTTAATCAATATCCTTGAATTTCTATAGCACTTATCCCCTTCTCCATTTCTTTAGCTTTCTTTAGCCCACCATCTGTATTCGTTTTTCATTTTTCTGTCTTTCTCTTTCCTATATAAAGTATTTCTCTTAAATTTTATACGTTTATTATTGAATATAAGATTATACAATATTAAATGTCAAAAATAAGATTTTAGATTTTATAATTATAAAACCAAATGATATATATATATATGCATATTCAAATTTTTTATTTATAGGATTATCAGTTATAAAAACAACAAGTTATAATTTCATGTATAATAAATTTAAATATGCAATAAAACTGACAATAAAATTCATGTTCAGTATAAAATATATAAATAATACCATCATGCCTTTTTTATTTGGAATGTGTATTCAGCTTATTTCTCTTTCTAGAATAAAGATTCAGAGCTGGTTAAGATGGATCGAATATTGTATATAAGAATAAAAATAAATAATAAATAATAGAAAATTAATGAGTAATTACCCTTGAACGCAAGTAATCGATAATTATGATGTTTGTATTAGATATTTACAAATACAAGATTTTATTTGATATTAAAAAAAAATACTACGTGTTTAGAAATATTATAAACTTTATATTTTTGTTCATTCAATTTTTGTTATTTCTTTAAATTGTAAATGAAAATTTTACGAATATTTGAATATGTCTTAAAACGATTTTATGTATTTTGCACATATAGAAATTTAATAAATTATTATAAAATTATAAATATATGAAATTACTGTTATGAACAAAATTAATTTATTGTAGTTATCTGTATGGACAAACAATAAAAATATTTTTTTTAAGAATAAATACCATTATATATCGAAGCTGAATTTCATTACTATTTTAATGTGCTTTGTATATTCCATATTCTGTTAAAGCAACCTTAGTCTAAATCCAATTAATTATTGAGCTTATATTTTACTCATTACACTGTCTTGTTTCCGCAAGTTTGAACCTGCATCTTAAATTTATCTGAAGTATTATTTAAAATTCATAAAATATCTATATTTTATTTTATATAATTTTAAAATATTTAAAATTGAAATAAAATTGTATATGTAATATGATAGAAAATAATCCACTTAAATGTATAGGATTATTTTGATTTTGAAGTATTATGAAGTATTAAAAAAAGTGCTTTTAATACACTTCTTATTTTCATTTTGTTGAAATATTAGCTTATTTTGAATGGTTATATTACTGTTTTTAATAATTTTTATACAATTAAAAATATAAAATTATATAAAATTTATAATTTTTCTCATATATAAAATAATATACCGAAACAAATAGTTTGCAAATGAAATAACTGTATAAAATGAGTAACTTTTGTTCCATAAAACTTGATGTAGTAAATATTATGATTAAAATAGTATTATTTTCAAAAATAGTCTTGAAGTAAAAAAAATATACCCAACAAAATTTTTTTAAACAAATGTAGAAATTATTGTACTATTATAAAACTTGAATAATTCATATTGTCGGTATGACAAATTTGTTTCGATTAATATAACGGTCAACTTTTAACATATTTAAAAATAATTTTATAATCAACGTATATTTTTTTATGTTCTACTTATATAAAATTTGCAAATCGAATTGACTTTTATAAAATACAACGGTAAACAATTAATTATAATTAACCAACCAATTTGAAACTTGAATATTTGTTTAATAAAAATGAAAACATAATAAAGAATTTTACGATGAAATTATAGAATTCATATAATAAATTTATTAGTAACAGAGGTTGCTATTTTATAAGTAATTACGGTAAATTTGAAAGATTTTTAAATTTATAATTTTTTAAATAAATATATAATTTATTTCTATTTTTATAATTTTTTTACAGTATGCATATGTATCTTGTATCAAATATTAATTGTGAATTATACTTAAATCATTACATTATCGATTATATTCGACGTACTATTTTCTACTAATATATTAATATTATTTAATTATAAAATTCCATAGAAAATTAAAAATAAAAGTATTGAATATTAAAGATAAATATTTTTTAATTTTAACTCGAATCATATTTTTAATTCTAGTTAAAAAGCTAAATTACTTTTATTATACATGCAAAAGTATTACAGATTTTTTTTTAATTCAATTTGTCATTGTATTGATATGTAATTATCAAAATAAAGTATTTATGCAAAAAATATATACTCTTAATAAATGATGCACTAATGCATATCAAATATTAAAAATGATATTTTTAGCAAAGATTTAGTTTATTTTGATGTTTTCCATTGACTTACATTATGTTATTTATAGTCACCTATATCATAAGCATTTAAATGAACCAAATATAATTTTATCTATTATCTATTTATTTAAAATTGGTGAAATACAAATTAATTTCTTTTACTGAAATACTTGTAAAGTAATAATTTCTAACTCTTATCTGGTTTATGTTATTTGTGCATAAGTAAATGTTAATAATTATGCGGTAGCGCACAACTACATGGTAAGAGAAAAATCGATAAACGCAATGCAATACATGAAACTATATATAATTATAAGCGGAACCTTTATATTTTTTTATATAATGTAAATAATGATTAATACCACGTATATGACTTTAAATAAAAATTGATAGACCAAGGGATAGTAAATTTGTTTATATAAACTTTCATAAAATTACAATTCATATTTTATAATCTTAAAAATGTATACATTTAAGGTCTTAAAATTAAAAAGTTAATAGTGTTATGCTTTAAGTAAAGAATATTATATTTTATATAACGTTTGTAATTAAAAAACTTTAAAACATAATTTATGTATTATTTGGGCTAACCATCTAGTAGAAGCGTTTAACAAAATTATTAAATTATGTTTTTGTTCAATCATTTTAGTAATTTTGTTGATACGGTTAATCTAATAGTAACTTATATTTTTCTTGAACATTATAACATATAAGCATGACCTTGAATATATACAATTATTTTTTGAAAAGATTAATAATCTTTGAATCCGGTATTCACTTGGTCCCTTATTAATTAAAATGAATTATATCGATAAAATTACATCATAAAATATATTTACATTGAAAAGAAAATTTTTTTTAATTTTAACATAAATATTTTAACAAATGATTCTAATATTGCTGTTGTTAAATATATAAAAATTAATTTTTCTAAATATTACTTTGAGAAAAATGTCAAATAAGTAATTGATTTGTTAAATTTTAAGAATGCCTTTATTTCTTAGTTAATTTATTTATTTGTATAATTTGTCAAATATATTTTTTATTACAGTATCTACTTTTCAGGCAATTTTAATATTTTAATATCAAAATAATTTTTAAAATCGCTAGGAAATATAAAACCTGTTTCGTATTTTAACGATCATTATTTTTTTAATATTTGCTTTAAATAACATTAAGATAAATTGTATTTATCATATCGTAAAGAATGTTTTTAATCAGAATACATTTATATAATTAATATTATACATTCTAAATGAGTTTCTTATTTATTTATTAATTATTAAGAATATCATAGAAATATTATAAATTTAATTGGTAAAACAAATTATCAAATGTAAATTTACTATTGATGATATCTTAAGAGCAGAGACTTTATCAAATACAACAGTGTAAAAATAGATACATTAAATTTTATATAGTAATTTTAAAGCCACTTCCAACTGTATAGGAATATAACGATTAATACATGACTGCAAACCGAAGCATATTGATTAGTCGATAGGATTCGATGATGTCAAACTAGGTCCCACTGGGAAGCAAACATTGAATTACTTTTTTATTACTTTTATTATTAGTGACAATAGTGTTTACTTATTATTAACTGAATAATTTAAATGTTGTTTTACTTGTAAGAAATGTTTTTATTATCTTGAATAGGGGATTAATTATGGCAAAAGCGGTACTATACTTTTATTACGAATCATACATTTTTAATAGGTTTAGATATATTTTCTGGTAACCAATCATTTTCATTTAATATTAACTTTTAAATTTGTTTTGTAATTATATGAAAAAATTGATTAAAGCATTTAAAGATTTTTAATAATATTCCTAATATATAGCAAGCTGTAGTTGGTAAGTATTAAAAATTTTTTAATAAGTAAATAATTATTTTTTAATATTTACAATATCTTATTATCAATATCAATATAATTAATATCAATATCAATACAATAATTATCAATACAGATCTATCTGTATTTTAAGAAAGTTTTATTAAGAAATGAAGTAAATTTTACGAATTTTAATTTTTTACTCACATTTGGTTTTATATTAATTCGGAAACACGGGCCTGTATTAATCAATTAAAACATTAACATATGTTAATAAGTCGTAGTGCCGATATATTTTAAACTACATGTAAAGAGTATAAAATATCAAAGCAATAATATATACACAATGAGATTAACCTATTCGTACACGCAGTATTTTCATTTAGCTCATGCAAAACTTCCAAACAATGAATCATAATGCCATAAATAAGCACTTATAGTATAGAATCATACAATTTTTAGGTAGATTTCTAAATAATTCACTTCACAATCGAATATTAATATCTTCGCACAGTTGGAAGAAAAAATTAACAACCTTATACATTATACATTATTATCATTATACCCTTTACAATTTTTTTATTTTATAAGTTTAAATTAGATTCTAAATTTGCGTTATGCCTTATTTGTTACAGTAATTCGATTGCATTGTGAGTCCGAGTCCTTTAAGATGGATCTCATCTTAGATATCAACAGCTGGCTTTATCCTTTAGAATTAGGTGAGTGTCACTTAATTTTTTACTTTATATTTATATATAATTTTAATGTCTTTGAAATTGATAAATATTATCTTTATTAATAGATAAACATATTTTTTGCTTAAACACAAATTTCCGAAAAACAAAACATTCTTTTACATACTCTATCAATCATAGGTTGCTGGTTAAATTATGCTGTATAATAGCAATATGTAAACTGTAATTTTTTATAAGAATACTTTTAATGAATGTATTAGCAAATACATTTAGTGTTTACTTATTAGTTAATATTTAATCTACTAAGAGCTTTTTGAATTCTATCTATTAAGTGATTATTACTTGATCGATCATCACCTATCGAGATACACCCTTTGTTTTTGACTTAAAATATTTTTTACTTCGTCTATAGTATGTAATAAACAATCATTGCTATGATACTCCTTCTGTTAACTTCCTTATTTTACTTGAAATTAATGTAAAGATAATAAAAATAAATTATAATTAAATACATAAGATAATTCTATAATAAAAATTTTAGATTACTTTATTGGAAATACTTTCTTGTATGATATGTAAGAAATTGATAATTATAAAATATAAAGCATAAATCATAAAAATTTAAATTATTAAAATTGTATTATTCAATTTGTTTCAAATATTTGTTTCAATTTTCAATTTCTTATTCTCATTATACTATAATTTATTTTTTTTATATTTATGTTAATTAATTTATTCATTCGATTTATATTCAATTATTTAAGAAATATAGATTTCTATAATAAATACAATTGGACAGCTAGTATATTTGAAGTTGATTATATAGTATTGCAGTTACCATTTTTTAGAGGAAAGATTCATACAACTCCAAATTTAAGTTTTTGTGCAAGTCATTCTTTGATAAATAATGAAAAATAAAATAGTCAACAATAACCAATAATTTTTTCAATTCATGGCTTGGTCAAATGTTTATAGAATCAACACGTGTGTACAGAAGTATCGTAATTCAGAATTGATAAATATAAATTATTCATAGTACATTCATAATCACCATGTAAATATTATCAGTTACAGCCGATACTAACTAAATAAAATATTGATTTTGTTGATAAAATATTTAATCATTTGATCATAAGAAAATTCTTTTATATAACGCACTATTTTAAGAGTACCGAGTTTTCGTTTTTTGCTAAAATCATTATAATCGTTTATGAAAATATATTCTATAATTACCGGTTTATAAGTATTTTATACTTGAAACATTTTTGCTAATAGAAACACAGGTATCCATCTTCATTAATTAAAAAGTACTAGTGAAATAAACTTTAATAAACTTGTTTCTTTAAAAGAAAGTAAATACATTATTGTGAAAATTTAAAACTAAATTCAAAGTTAGATGTTTAATTTAAACAAATACTTTGTTTAATTGTATTTTTGTATACATGTAATGTAATATGCATATATAATTTATAATACTGTAATTTAAAATTCCATAAAATCTATTTTCAATAGTTTAACTTCTCAATACTTTATATTTATTAATTAAAATTTGTTTATTTAATGCAGATAATTAATGTTTTATACAAATTTTATTGTAAGTATTAAATTACTTATTATTTTTTTAAATATAAATTTGGATTGTGCAATTTTTATATTTTAGTATATTTTAATAAATTTTAATATTAAACATAACAGAATTCTTTATTTAAATATAATACACAGAGTAAATTAAAAAATATCTTTTTCATTTATTAACGTTTAAATATTGAATACTTAATATTATAAAATATTGAATGTATTTAAAATGAATTCATAAGATTTAATTAGGTTCTAATCTAAAAATACAGAAATCATTAAATTATATTTAAATAAAATTCATTTTTATACAAATGTTTATTAAGTTTTCAATATTGTGATTTAAAATATACTTAGTAAATCAATAAAAATCATAACATACTGAAATGTATTAGAGAAATGCGTAAGACAAAATATTTTTTGTCTTATAATACCACCATTTTTTCTTTTTTGTTTCATACGCATAGTTCGTATAATTTTATTTTTAAAATAAATCAGAAATAAGTTACTACTTAATTTACATATTAAATAAATATTTATTTTATACCAAATCTTTATATTAATATAAATATACTTTATTAATTTTAATTCGACGAATGAAAAATGAATTATTAAACTATGTCCCTTAAATTAAGTTTAAATGTGTTATTTTTCGTCTAAAATATTAAATCTGATTTTTATTTATAATATTAAGTTGCCTATTAGTGGTATTTAATAATAATTAAAACAAATATTATTGATATTTTTTAAGAAATAAAATACTTTTTCTACTGAGTTATTAAAAATGATAAGAAATTTCATTAATGTTATGACTTATATCAATGTAAAAGGGAAATGTAATAGGATATAATTATTATATATTGAGAAAAAAAATCTATTTTATATTAAAACAATTATTTTTTTAATTGTAAAATGTGACAAAATACATTTACAAAGTATATGTATAATTTTTCATAAGCATTTTTAGAAAAATACTTTATATTTAATATTTAAATCGTAAAAATGTTAACATTAATGTTAAATTTATTTGACTTCTGTTTTTCTATGAAGAAAATATTTAAATAGTATGTGTTATTATAGTTTATATAACTAAAATATAAATTTGTATTTTTTAAAAATATTTATTAAAATATAAAAATGTATTTTACAAATATTGAAGAAAATGAAATATATTTATTATAATGTTCCGTCTGTCTATCTGCCTGCTAATAATTGTATATATCTAAGCTATGATAAACATTGTGTATATTAATAACATAAGAACATTTTTAATAAAAAATTGTATAAACAATACATAGTAATACTATTATTATATAATTGTAGCCAGCAAATAAATTTTGTATACGTAATAAATTATTTAAAATCAATACTTAATTCAGCTGGTATTCGCAGATTAGTGTAATTTCATTATTAAAATTAATGGATTCTATATTTAATGTGTATTACTGACTATTTACTATTAAAAGCTTTTTATAATGTATTATAAATACCGTATTATTAGAAAAATTATGTTGAAGCAAGTATTTATAATAAAAATTTCTTTCTTATAATAGTAGAAATCTTACAATAGTATAGAAATATTTTAATTTATAAAATTAAATTGGTAACTTCTAAATTTTAATTCTTTCAGCATAAGCCGAATTAATAAACTAATAATCTGAATCTATTTAAAAAATGACTTATAATAACCAAAATTCTCTTGATTTCTATTAGTAAATTTCTAGCTGCTTAATTTTATCTTGATTTTAATTTCTTTTAATAACTTTTGTCTAATTTGATATTGCTAAGTATTTTCTCTACTATTAACATATTTGTACACTCGCGCAATTTGTGTAAAACTTACTCCCTATAAATAAACCTTCTTTGTTGATTCCTTGAAATAACTTTGATTAATAAGTTTGATTTATTCTCCTCTGTAAATATGCATCCATATGGATACATTTGTAAGATAATGCATATACATTAATAATTATATTTAGTATATTGATAAAACAAAATAAAAGATTAAAATTAAAAATTTTAAATTTCAATGTCGATATATCATCCCGATTTAATATAAAAAATATTCCATGCTGATATTGTTGTTTATATATAATTTGATTTAGACGTAAACGAAGTTTTCAAATAAAGTATGAAATGTTCAATATATTTTGAATTTTAACAGAAATTAAACCATGTGGAAAAAAAATAAAAAATTTTCTTATACAATTTAGTTATATAAGAGTAAAAAAGTTAATTATAGTTTTTAAATTTAGTAAATTAAAATCCAATATGTAAAGTGATAAAAAATGCATTGCATAAAAATTTTAACATTCGATTTTTATGATAATTTTAATTTTAATTTCAATCCGTGAAATCTAATATTATATTAATACAGATTAGATTTGATTTTTAATATAATTTATTAGTCATATATTATTTAATAATAAGAATTTAGTAATAGTTAGTGAATTATTCGTTAATTCATCATTATAATCAAACTTTTTTATTTATATAAAATTATTGTGAATATATTCGATTGAATGAGTAAATATAAATAAAAGATTTGCAATAAAATACATAGATTAATGATTTACGGATTAATGATTATCAATACTTTTTACAAATATATTTTTAAAGTATTTTATTATATATATTTTATTACAATTCAATATGAAAAAAGATGAAATCTATAAAAATAAATTAAAAATTATACATATACGAAAACAAATATGAACTATAAAATTGTTTGCTCTTTTATAAATGTTTTGTAAGACCACTTTAATTAACTATAGAAAATTAATATATTTAATACTGCTAATATGAAATATTTCAAATTTATAAATAACGGAATTTTATGTAATTTTATTCTTGAAATGTTATTGTTCTTTTGTATATTATACTATTATTAATTTTTATAATTAATTACTAATTATTAATTTGCATTATACAATACTTTTGTAATGTAACAAATCCAGATAATTTGATAATTGCCGCACTTAATTATTGACGAAACGTGTTAAGCAAATAATTTTTCATTTTGGATAAATTTATGTTTACATATTCATACACTTATGTTAAGGGATTTATCCGCCTTACTTTATACATATATAATTTGAGTTCACGATATTTTCTTGCTCAGATAAGCATCGAGTCCGCGTGGAATTGGATAGCTACAACTATATTTTCTCTTTCTAATCTTGCGCGGTGGTATTGACGCGCGTACCAGGCTAGGGAGAAAGAGAGACATTGGACGACGAAGGTAGTATTGCGCGGGATGATGCAATGAGTGTGGAGCTACTTACTTCCTTTCCACCAATAACCCCGCCTTTCTTCGCTCGTTCACGAAGACACCCCCTCTCCCAACTTCTAGATCTTCTGTGCTTCTCAGGCAGTTCGCAAATTCCTTTATCAAGTTCAATTCCAAGGTCAGGGTGCTGCTGCAATGGATGAGCGAAACCGTTGACGTCGCCACCTCCTATGCGGTGTTGCTATGATATTGTCACAAAACTCAGCCGAACCTCGATTCTTTTCAACCTTATTTGTTCTTGTAGGTGGTGGTCACTTTTCCGCTGGTAACAGAAACCCTCATAGAACGATAAAGGTTCTTTTAAGAGCTGAATCTGTCACCTTCATTGAAATGATATCCCATTTCTCGTCACCCATGGTTTTTCAGTAACTGCTGACTATTACTTTTCAATATTTTTGTCGGTCGTCCTCCTAAATCACCAGGTTAAACAGCAAGGTATGAAAAAATATCAAGAAAGGGAAATATGTGCGATAGTTTGGATAAGACGGCGATGAGTTCCGAACTCAAGAAAATTGATACTAATAGAACACCAAATTAAGTTGCAATTTGAAATTAAGCGACGCTCTTTCGGTGATAAAATGCTGATTCTTTTAGCCTAACTGAAATGAATACTTCAAGTACCAATATTGTGAAAAGTACGGAGGAATGTCAAATGTTTGTATTCTTTTTATAATTCAGGATATGTATTACAAGGACGGAAGTATTATTGACGTAGACACTTGCATTCCAATATTTCATAGAATATCAAAAATATAGAATACCCCGTACCATCGGAAAGCATGTATTTTTTAAAGAATAATATGGATTTCATGGTAAGCATTTAGTTTTAAGCTGATAAACTGGATATACTGAAAATTTGCTCATTTACTTAACAATGATATTGAGTTCTATTTCCCAACAGAATATTTTTTAAAACATTTACAAGCATATATATGGCATATTCTTTATCATCGTAATCTTATCAAATTTAATAGATATGTCAGATACAAAAATTACAATAGATAAGATTAAAGTTTTAACTTTCATTGAATAAAGATACTTCTTGTTAAGTAAGCTATTATAATATGTATTTTGTAATACTAGTTAATATAAAAAATAAAGATTTATACAGCTTAATGTTAAGCTTAATTACTTAATGTTTTCTTTGAATATTCTAAATAAATATTATATATCTATGTTGATGTACTATTTTTCAATATAACAAATATAATCTAGAACCTTTAAATGCTCTTGAATACAACATATTGAAAGCTCTTAATTTATCATGCATGAATTTTAAAAACACAATATAATACCGTATTGTATTATATATATATATTATTATAGTTATTTTATAATTGAATTGAATGAATAGTTGTTCATTATTAGACTTTTTGAGCCTTACAAGTTGCGTGACTATTTTCTTTATATTAATTTAAAAATCTATTAACTAATTATAAATTAATCATAAAATCATCATCCTTTACTTACATACATACTCTAATACATCCTTTCATTAGTACTGTTTTTATACCTCAAAAAAATGTAGTTTTTAATAGAAAAAATTTATAATTTTTAATAGAATTTAATTTTATTAACAATTATTTTAAAAAATCGTTTGTAAGAGCTGTTTTTACTGTTTATATGAAATACTTAATTCAATTGCTATATTCAACATTTGTTTTTATTAAAGATTCTATAAAATATATTCTATATCTATAGAAAAATACAAATGTTAATTAGTTATATATTGCTAACATTATTGCTAATTATACAATCATTAATTGATGGCATTTATTTATGTCTAAATCCTAGTTGTAGCAGTAATAAAATATTTGTTGAGGTTTTAGTAAACAGTGACCAAAATGAAAAAAATATTTTATATTAATATAATACCATATATTAAGCAATAATTAATATTCATTCAAACAATGTTCTATATTAAATTATTCCTAAATTTAATAATAAAATTTAACATCATAATTTTTTATCCAATTTCAATATTGAAATTAGAATTTTATGTAATAAAAAAAATTGAACGTTATTCGAGTACGTTAAAAAATGGATGCCTATACTTGGTAAATTAAAATTAGAAATAAATATAATGTATGTATTTAGCGTTCGGTTACTGTATTGCAGGTGATAAATTTCGCTTAGTGCTTGCAACAACATTACGTGAGGACGGATACCCCGATGGCGGCGATTGGAACGCTGCTGAAATGGAGGGTGGTTCTAGGGCGAATTCTTTCGAATATGTGATGTCTGGTAAAGTCTACCGAATAGAGGGAGACGAGGCCAACAACGAACCTAGCAGCCGATTGTAAGTACATAACGTACACTTTTTTCTTTGTTTTATTTTTAAATCTTTATTAGTTATTTTTATAAATGAAACTTATTATATTGATTATTGTAATTATTAATATCAGAAATTTTTTTATTAAAGTATAGGATATATATACGACTTAGCTATAATTGACGATTTATTAACACGATTAATGTTACTAATTGGCTTATTATATATTTTTATACTTTATATTTTATATTTGTATAGCAATAAAATTTAAAAATAGTATTCTAATACAATAAATACAAATATAAGAGAAAGTAACAGTTAATAATTATTTTAATTTATTTATACAGCAATTGATTTACAAATTACAATATCCATAAATTCGGTATAATTGATAATTAAACAAGAAAGTATGGAAATCATTGTGTATTTTCGCTTGATCATTCGATTACATGAAAAACATTATTACAACTATTGAGTTTAATCTAAAAAATTTAAAGCTGTATTTAGAAAAATAGTTATTTAATTTATTGTTTTTGGAAAATTAAATATATATACCATAGTATCTTTTAAAGAATAATACAGTAAAGATATATAATTTATTAATAAAATAATACTCATTTAGATTAATCGAACAGTTATTGGAATTTTTTACAATGACTTATTAATATTTTATTCAATGTATTATTCAAATAGCAATTTTTATTGTATAACATGATTTTGTTAATATATTTAAAATAAAATATTTCACTGTTCGTTATTAATTAATTCACTCTTAGTAAATATTCTATCTAAAATTGAGATTTTAAACAGTAGTAACAATTCAATCGATGATTAGATAAAATTGGTTAAAAAATTTGTTAAACAGTGGTTTTTGTTGGTTGATTTCATATCTGCAAATAATAAATATATAAATGTAGAGATCGAATCGATAAATTTTATATAATCATTATTCAGTAATAGTATTTTTCACTTCAGCTCCAGGTATACAAATCATTGGATATTTCTTTTATTCATTAGTTTGTGGAATTTCATTTTTGCAACATCATATCATGACATTAAATAGTTTGTGTTGTATCAGATAATATTATTTATAGTAACATTTATAGATGCCGAAAATAAGAAATTATTTTAACATGGGATGAAGAAATACAGCCAATAAGTTTTATTTCCAACGTATAACTTATTTATTAAAGAACTAAAATTCAGTGTATATTTTGTTTTTCGCGTGATTGAAAATCAAAATTGACACAACACTTAAAAAATATAAGTCTTAATAAATGTAAATTGATCAAATTAAATTTCAATAATTTCCTTATGTTAAGCTTATTAATTTTATAAGAAAAACTATTTTTAATTGTTTTTAAAAGAAGAAAATTGTATATGTTCATAAATTAACGTTACAAATCGTTTATTTCCGATGATCTAAGCTCATTAAACTGCGTCATAGTAAGCAAATTTTCTAAAAAATCCAAATCCTTCGAACAGAAAAAAAAAATTTAGCCAGACATTTTTCAAAGCGGAAAAGTAATTATCCGTTATTTGAGCGGTTAGTATCAACGATATACCAACGAATCCACTACTATTGAATCAAGCCTTATCGAACTAAATTAAGTTAGATATTAATTAAGAATGATTTAACTTTTTGGACAAAGGAAAGCCTCAAATTTCTTTTCTCCAGTTTCCTGACGTTACCACTAGTTCTTAAAAAGTTCGATGTCGAACAGATATACAGATCATCACCAAAAGTCCTGAAGTATGACGATGTGCCTCATTCCTTTGTGATACAGATAAAATGTAGAAATTATGGGAAACTCTCTTCTCGAATCCAACTATAATCGATTTTCATTCAATAATAAAATTATAAAGATTGATAAAAAAATATTACTCAAAATTGGAATTGCTCCTGGTGGTTTAGCAGACTGAATTTTTTGTAAATATCTTTTATTTCGTGCTTTTTCCCGTCTTTGTTAGTTGATTTTCTTTTTTTCTTTCATTAATATTAACGAATAAATATTTTCTACAGTTGTATTTCAATGTTCTATATTCTAAAGGTGTTTTTTCCATTGTCCTTAGGTATCATTTTTTAAATGGGTTCTATATAAAAGTGGTCTTTACGTTGAAATAATTCCCTCATAAATAGAAATTTTTTAATGATAACTCTCCAAAATAAATCAAATATCAAACATGTTATTCAATTTCTTTATTTTTTAAGATTACCTTTTTATATTACTAATATACTAATAAAAATTATTCAAAAAGTATTATAAATTTTATACCAAAAAAAAAATGTATAATTTATCGATTGATTATTTTAACGGTATATAATATTCCTATATTGTCTTTTATTTTAGTTTGAAGTTAATATAAAAATTGCGATCTTATACTCGACCAAATTTTTTTAAATTACGGCTAAATGTCAAAAGGCAAAATATTGAATATCTACCTAACTGAACACGGATGAGGTAATATGATAAATTTCTAATGTTTATGTACATATTTGCTTTTTTTATATATCTTCGAAAATTGAATAAAATTTATTAAAAAAAATTATAGAATTAGGCAATTATTAATAATAATTTTACAAGAATTATGTAAAAGTATATAACTAATTAACTTTGTAATTTATACTTGATATATCTATTTAAATGACACATCGGAAAGAGCACATAATATATATTATATAATAATATAAAAAATTTTAAATGTTTGTTTAAATTGATATTTATTTTATTATTAAGAGAAAATTAGATTTTATGTCACTATAATTTTTGCCAGTTTTTTCGAGATATATTCAATCTAAATTCCATTATAACGAATCAAGGCAATTTAAATAAATATTAAAAACTAATATTATGAATATTTCATAAAAATTCATGTAAAAAAAGACAAAGTATTTCCTAAAATTTGAAGTTGCTTGTAGAGTCTAGTACTGAGAAAATACCTGTTTGTATCGTCGAATAATTTCATATATACAAAATTATGACTGATTATTTTTTATTAGAGAATACGATTGTTAAACGATGATTCATTGACGATTCTTTCTCAATTATTATTTTATTTATAGAAAGTTATAATGTGTTTCCAACATTATTCGTGGTATGTATTTCCGTTTTTGTTTTTTAAAAATACAAACTATAATAACAAGAATTACGTAATATATTATTATTATTGTTTGATATTGATATATTAATAGATGTATAATCAATATTAAAATTTATTTAGTGTTTATATAAATTTTAAATTAAAACCAGTGTATTTTTACTAATGGTTTTCAAGAAAGTTGTAGACATATAAATGTTTGCTAAATATAGAAAAACTATTGATGAAAAATTGTAATATTATAAAAATACGAAGTCAGCTATAAAGTTTAATCAATATATCTAAAAGTTTTATATTGAATTTGTAAACCTTTAAAATATATATTGTTTTATTTTTTTTAACATTATTTGTTTAACATATTAATTTTTTTGATAATACCAAAAGCACAGATTGGGACATACGTGGTATGCCTAAAATGTATGTAATATTTTTATAGGGTATGTTTTTTAAGTTTTTTTGAAGAAAATTAAAAGAAACTAAAATAAGCACGTTTAGGACTTTCCTCTTTTTTCTACTCCTTTTTTTTTAGTCGATGGAGTCTTGTCAAACAAATATGACAACTCTAACAATAGTAATGGTTAAGACATTGGAAAACACGACACGTCCAATAGCCAGATCGAGATTAGAATTTGCGTGCCACATGAAACGCCATTTATTAGTGATCAGTTTTTCGTTTAACTAAAGTTAATGTGATAGTCATTGTATTTTACACTTATAAAAATAATGTTTGCTTTTTGGCCCAAGGGAAAATAATAACCACAATCTAGCAAAAGAATTTTCCAAGTCCTGAAAAATCATACATAAATGTGAACTATTATTTCAAATGTTGCATATAACACGACATAAAATATTTGCCTTTAATGACAATAAGTATACCACTGATTATAGGGATGCTTATAATATATGAATATACAGACCAAATGCAACGCTAATGCGTACAAAATGTTGCGATGTATTATTAAAAAACTGATTCATGATTGAAGAGTATTGAATTTAAATAAACTATTGTTAATTTGATAGTAATTTGATAGATACCGTTTAGAAAAATAGAATTGTTTCAAAATCCGTAAGGTACCTACGTACATGTTGAAACTATATATAAATATTAAATAATGAAAATAATGAATATAGTTTTATGTTCAAAGAAAAGAAATTTTTAAATACATCTAAATTATGAATTTAAATAAAGTACTTTTTTACTATATTACAATAAAATAATAATATAAGTTTTTATTTATAGTTTACTATGTACAATCGGAACTGTATTCGAAATTTTGAATTCTGGTTACTTTATGGAATTTGTTATAATTAAGAAATCGTTATAATGTAAAAATGAAAACACACGCTTAGCATATATAATATAGTTAATATTTGGGTAATAATGTAACTAAGGTCGTTTTTAAAATAACTAAATATTTTTTTATTTTATTTAAATCTTTTATTTAAACGTATTGATAAAACAATAACAAATTTTAATATATGTTTCGGTTTCTACCTATATTGGGAGTTTCAATAAATATTTTAGACATTTAAAATTTAAAATAATTAATAAATTCATTTCTTATCACTAAATTTATTGAAGTGCAAAATTATACTCTTTATTGTTAAAAGTATATATTTTCTAGAATAATTAATATCCATATATTTTATTTAAAATGAATATCTTTATATTGCCATAATTTTTTTATTTGACAGAATGAATATGCTCTTGAGTAAAACAATAAAATATGTATTTCTATAAAATTAAGATATTCGAAAACTCTTTCTTGACACTGGCTATTTTTCATAATTTTCTACGAATCATCCATTAAAAGCTAATATTTTATTCGATTAAATTTATATTATATCGATTAATTACATTGTTTTTATATTAGTAAATCATTTATTATAGGAAAGCAACATTTCAAATATTTTAAACAATAAAATTA